ATCTATGAATGAGGCAAGGCATAATGCGTTTGGAACGGCCATGAATGGCAAAATCTATATAGCAGGTGGAATGCAAACCGATGAAGAAATTTGCAGAGTTCTTGTAAATGACACATGTGAGATGTATGACCCATCAACCAATGAGTGGCAAATGATGCCAAGTCTTAATATACCACGCCACTCTTCAAGCATGGTCTGCTTTCAGGAAGCACTGTATGTCGTAGGTGGGTTGAAAAATAAGAGCAAACATTCAAGAGAGTTATCAGTGGAGGTGTTTGATTTTAAGACAAATGTTTGGGAGAAGAAATCAACCATACCAGTTGATGATGAAAATGAGGAGGAAAGGAAGAAAAACTGGCATTACAAAGCCTGTTCTGCAGCAATGCATAGAGCTGCATTAGAAGGGCCTATTGAGTGTTAATCTCATAAAAACCATTCAAGGCCTCACAGTGTTTTTTTTTTCTTGCTGTAGTAATACTTCTTTCATGGTGTCTTTGTGGTCCACAGAGGGATTGATTGATTCAATTTTATTTGAATTATAGCATTGTGTTCATTTAATTAGTGTTTGTATTAGATTTAAGATTTCTGTTTGTGTTCCTGAAAGCTTTCAGTGTAATCAATATACCCTGCATCACATACCCTACTTTTATAATTTTATAATTTTCAGCATAACCAGTGTAGCATTTTCAAATTTGACTGCCTCATTAGAGAGATGCTCTAAATTCGCAAGCTTCAACCCACCCTTGGGGCTAACAAAAAGTTAATTCCAGCTCTTACATTTTGTTTGCCTCAGGGGCCTTTTCTTGCTTGTCTTAGCTAATGATTTTTTCAAAGGAAGACTTGTGTGAACCCTTGTCTATTGGGTAAGTAGGGCCCAGTTCAGACATCGCTCCAGTCATGTACTTACCGGTAACCTAACTAATGAATTAAGTACGGCAAAAGAATGGCGTCTGAATCAATTTGGTAAGGCAGTTTTAGTTTGGTGCGGCAAAAGCGTAAACTAGATTGTACAATGTACCAGACTGGACTTATTTAGAGCCCCGACCATGAACATGCAAACTGACTCTGTAAATGCTAAGGTGTTTCTTTAGTGCTTCTGTTGTTATCCTGAATTTATAATATGCATCATGTAATTTGTTTCTTAGTCTTAAGAATGTGGTCATAAATGATGATGTCAAAATGTTGTGTTTTTTACTCTTATTATTCCACATTCTTGCTTTTTATTTTAACATTGAACAGGGGCAGGGTGTTTCAGCCTTTTTGCAAGCAGTTTCCAACTTGTCTGAAATTAGACACTTATGAGGTAGCCCATGCATTTTTTGGGTAACTTTTTCTCCTTTTTTGGAAATTACTTGAAAATGGTAATCACTAGCTGTGTACTAGCAGTTGAAGACAATATGGCCAGCTTGATAACTTAAGACACAAGATGTAGCCTAGTAGTGTTATTTTATATACTGGACTAAGATATCTTGTAGAGTTTTATGCTTTTATGTGTCTTTAAAACCATTAAGCAGCAACAGTATCATTGTGAGATTTGAAAACTCTGTCTGTCATTAAAAAATAAAGGGTAGTGGGAGTTCCAGAAGCCCTTGATCTCTTCCCAGGATATACTCCTAATTAAAAATTGTAGATATAAAAGAAACTTAGTGTCCTTTTTGAACTCAGTTAGGAGTGATTTCCAGTTCCTTGCTTGCACATTTTGGGAGGCTTTTCTTCCAAAAGAGGCTCTAGTTTAGAAATGGTCAAAGAGTGCCTTTGTTCATAAGTTTATGTTCTGGAGCTCAGCCCTACTTATTCTTTAAACCTTGTATAAATTGCTTTGGACATTTTTGGTTGCTTAAAATCTTGAAAATATAAATAAATGTAATGTTCAAATCATTACGCGTTAACACGTGTTAACTCGATGTCCTTAGCCTGCAAGCAGGCTCTCTATTTTGAGTGGCAAACAGCCAGGTTATTAACCAACTTTGAGCTAAGGGGATTCAATGATTGTTGGAGAAATTCAAAACAGGCAAAAAACTGGCAGTGAACTGTGATCCCCTTTTCCTGACATTGAAAAAAGTGGTGTCAGTAAAACGTGGGGTCAGATTGCTGTTTTAGGGTTGTACATTAGGGGTAATGTGTACCAAGCCAAAAGGGGAGCCACCATATCTGTATTCCAGGTTCTGGATTCTTTGTCAGTGAAATTTGGATTCCTGATTCCAATCTCTAGCGGGATTCCAACTTCCATATGATGGATTCTGGATTCCACAGCAAAAATTGGCTGTATTCCGTATTCCACAAGCCAAATTTGCCGGATTACGGAATCCAAATTCCCTTTTATGGGGTGAAGGGGGGCTTAAAACTCAAGAGATTATTACTTCAATTTTTTTTTCATTTTAGTCTT